TGTATGGACAATCAATATATGCCAGAGGTGGTCTTCAGCCGGTTCGGACTGGTTTGCCCAAACCGGTTCAGACTGGCCCACCTGCCCGCCCCGGCTCTATGCCATCCTATTTAGGCGTGTTTTTGAGGCTGGGCGCGTGTGTGGAAGGCAGGTGCACGTGCGAACTGAGCATGTGCGCAGGCGGTGAACCGGTAGTAACATAATGTGAAACCCACCACTGCCATACACCGAAGAGGAATACAACCTGAGGATCCTTGTGTGGCCTTTAACAGCTTTGCGCGGGGTCCCCAAAGACTTCTAGAGTTGAATTTGTAACAAAAGGGGAAATGCATGTCTGTATATAATTTAAACTAATTAAATTTAAATACACCTGAAGTGAGATCAGTATAAGTCTGTACTATTTCTTGGATTGGAAAAACTTACACAGTTTATATGGCTGCCCATTGTACGTGCATAACTCTGGGCGTCTCAACAACAATTCACAGCTCACAAGAAAACAAGGTAATAAAACAAAACAACGAACACAATTGAAATAATAACATGGCACCATATAACCAACTCATGACACAAACCACACCTATACTAAGCTTGTCTAATTTCCTGGCCTGACATTTGGCGGAAAAAGCATATTATTTTCTGGAAAGTCAAAAGGGTCCTGATCTCAGGATGGGGACAATGTTTTTGTTTTCTGGAGGGCCAGGTGGGCCTGGCTCCCCTCCACCACCACCCCCGCCATACACACACACACACACAAGCACTGGGCCAGAATATTAAATGAACTGAATGTTGGTATGGATTGGTTACGAATGCTGTATACACATAACCAATTGCTAACAGGGATATTTGGAGACCATCCCTCCTAACTTCCCAATGGCTCTCTTCTCTTCTCTTCTCTTCTCTTCTCTTCTCTTCTCTTCTCTTCTCTTCTCTTCTCTTCTCTTCTCTTCTCTTCTCTTCTCTTCTCTTCTCTTCTCCTCTCCTCTCCTCTCCTCTCCCCTCCCCTCCCCTCCCCTCCCCTCCCCTCCCCTCTTCTCTTCTCTTCTCTTCTCTCTTCTCCTCTCCTCTCCTCTCCTCTCCTCTCCCCTCCCCTCCCCTCCCCTCCCCTCTCCTATCCCTCTCCCCTTCCCCTTCCCCTTCCCCTTCCCCTTCCCTTCCTTCTCTTTCTCCTTCTCCTTCTCCTTCTCCTTCTCCTTCCTATTTGATCATGCGAGGAAAAAGAAATCTGGGATCACACAGTTATGTTATCTAACATGGTATCTTTTTTTTTTGTCAAACATGTACAAGGTAACAGGTATAAGTATAAACATGGACATGAACATAGGAAATGAGTACAAATAAATGGGAACAGTAGGACAGGGGCGGTAGGCACGCTGGTGCACTTATGCACGCCCCTTTTACAGACCTCTTAGGAATGGGGTGAGGTCCACGGTAGACAGTTTAAGGTTGAAGCTGTGGGGGTTTGAGGAAGTAACAGCACTCTGCAATCGAGTTTAGAGAGGTTTACCTTGAGTTTGTATTTATTGTTTGCCCGAGTGTTATTGAGGTTGAAGCTGAAGTAGTCATTAACAGGTAGGACATTGTAACAGACAATTTTGTGTACTATGCTTAGGTCAGACTGTAGGCAGAGTAGTTCAAGGTTGTCCAGGCCCAAAATTTTAAGCCTGGTAGCATAAAGTATTCTGTTGCGAGCAGAGGAGTGGAGGACTCTTCTCATGAAATACCTTTGGACCCACTCAATTGTATTAATGTCCAATATACAGTGTGGATTCCAGGCAGACGAGCTGTATTCGAGAATTGGTCTGGCAAAGGTTTTGTATGCCTTAGTTAGCAAATTGTATTAATGTCCAATATACAGTGTGGATTCCAGGCAGACGAGCTGTATTCGAGAATTGGTCTGGCAAAGGTTTTGTATGCCTTAGTTAGCAATACAATGTTACCGGAGAATCTTCTTCCGGTCTGTGTAGAACACAGTTTCTCAACCTTGTGAACTTTAAGCTGTATGGACTTCAATTCCCAAAATTCCCCAGCTAGATTCTGGGAGTTGAAGTCCACACAGCTTAAAGCTCATAAGGTTGAGAAACAATGATATGTAGAAACTTAGTGTGCTGGCAGGACTGATGAGAAAGCCTAATTCCTTTTACTTAAGGGCAGCAGACTAGCTTAAGGACGAGTGAGTACTCAATGATGTGAGTACTCAGAAGAAATAACAGAGGGGATGTCTCAGTTGCCACTGAAGGCAAAGTGTCATGCTGCCAAATACAGGTAATCCTTGACTTACAACAGTTCGTTTAATGAGTTGTTCAACAGTCACTGAAAAAAGTGACTTACTGTATGACCATTTTTCACACTTACAACTGTTGCAGTATCCCCTTGGTCACAAAATTAAAATTCAGACACTTGTCAGCTCACTCATATTTATGATGGTTGCAATGTCCCAGGGTCATGTGATCACCTTTTGCGACTTTCTGACAAGCAAAGTCAAGGGGGAAGCCAGATTCACTTAACAACCGTGTTATCAACTCAACAACTATGGTGATTCACTTAACAACTGTGGTGAGAAAGGTTGTAAAATGGGGCAAAACTCGCTTAACAAATGAGAAATTTGAGGTTGAATTGTGGTTGCAAATTGAGGACCACCTGTGGTAGAACTGGCCCAAGGTAGGCCAAAACCTCTATGCATACTTATGCATATCAGAGGAGAAATGTCAGCAAGAATAGGAAGTCCCGCCCCCAAACTTAAAATACCGCTAACAAAGATGAGCCAAGAACAGCCTTCCCTAACTTGATTGCCCTCTCCCCATGTATAGATTTCCATATCTAGAATTCTTCCCAGCTGAGGAATTCTGGGAGTTTTGAAGTTCATTCATCTAGAGGGCAACCAGGTTGGGAAGCCCTGATCAAGAGCTGGGATTTGAGCAAAATAAACCCTCCCCTAAACTCCACTGAAGATGTTACCTAGTCTGGTAACGAAATGTTTGGAAACCAACCCGCAAGTTCAGAGAACGAACCTTTACCATCAGAATAAACCCAATCGACTGTGCTTTGGTAGTCTGGGAAGGCAATGTCTCAGCTAAAGTTAACATAAGGGTTAGAGGTAGTCCTCGACTTACAACCATTCATTTAGCGACCATTCAAAGTTACAATGTCACTGACAAAAAGGGACTTAACTGGTCTTCCCACTTATAACTGTCACAGTCACGTGACCAATATTTGGGTGCTTGGCAACTGACGCAGCGGTGAAGTGCACTTACCTTCGCTACCAGTTCTGGAGTGTGAGCGCGCACGCGCCTCTTCTGCGCGTGCGCAGAGCATCAAAAACAGGACATAATGACATCCCAGCGGGTAGGTGGAGCCTCCTACCACTGGCACTACCGGTTCGCGTGAACCGGATAGATCCAGCCGGATTTCACCGCTGAACTGACATGTATTGACAATGGTTGCAGCATCCTGGCCATTTGCAACCTTCCAGCTAGTTTCTGACATGTCTATGGGTGAATCTAGATCCGCTTAATGACCTTGGGATTCGCTTAGCAGCCCCAGTGATTCACTTAACAATGGTGACACAGAATGGGAATAAAATTGGGCCTGACTCACTGAACACATGCCTTGTTTAGCAATGGAAATTCTGGTCCCAGTTGTGGCTTATAAGTCAAGGATTTTGGAAAGGGGTTCAAGAGGAAAAAAAAATAATAATGGAACCCACATTTCAAGAGCAGGAGATGCCAAAGAAGGAATCAGATTCAGACGAGCAAGACTTTGTTGCTTCTAACCGAAACCAGAAAGGCCAGAAAATGGAAGTGAGGAGCAAAACACTAAAAGGTTTTAAAGGAGCTCTTGTTCCAAAGAGAAAATTCCATACTGCTGAATTGCATATTCTTCAGCTGTACTATTGAATTCAGAACATACTATAAGCAGAACAAACAATACAGCAACTGCCAAATGGCTGGGGGAAACACAAGAATTTGACAAGGGAGGGGAGAAGACCTACCTTAGGTGGGGCTTGTTGGTGGTGCCATCAAATGTTTCTAGAACGATATCAGATTACGCTGCAGGGTGTAGCCACAATTCTCATCACTTCTGTTTCTTGAATGATCAGGGGCAGTTTTACCTGATGGGGAAGTCTGTAGCTGCAACATGTTTTCAGAGGTGTAATTTCACACACACACACAGAGAGACAGACACACACACACACTCACAATCTTAACCTTGAGCTTTGGGGTCTTTCCCTGCCAGATGTCCTCCAAAACAGCAACTCTCATCACCCAGAAACCACAGTGATTGCAGAAGACAATTCTGTAGCATATCATTCATGGCTTCCAGGTGAAAAAAAAAGGAACTTTCATTCTGCTAATTTTCTTTTTTCTCTGATCATTTCTGTTTTCCCTAAGCCCAATAGCTAAGAGGGCTGGTTAGATAACCGTTAAAAGAAGAATCCTTTCAAAAATAGTTCTTACAACAAATGAAGATGTTGGCAAGTCTAGAAATGTTGGGAATTGTCGTCCCAACACATCTGAAGGGTACCAAGTAGGGACAGGAGGAGCTTTTGACACATTCTCAGTGCTTCAGAATGTATCTCAGGACCGGCAGCATTTGAAGGGTTTGCCATAGAGTTGATGTTAAGGGCTTCTTGGCAGAACAATTGAGATCGATGGAGGAGACTGGAGCAGACTTGCAAAACTCTGGGATGCAGGAAGAAAATCAGCTGGCCCTCGCAGTGGTCAGAAATCAAAACAAAACGAACCCGATTCTCTGCACACCCCACCCTGCCCGCAGCCGTAACTTATCACACGGCGTGATATTTTCTAACAGCAAAACAGACTTGTCTTCTAACCCAGCGGCAGTTCCTGCCTGCCACGTTTTGGCACAAGTCCCTGGAGTGGAAGAACTGGATGGTTATGCAAGGCTGTTTACCTGTTGCCGGACAGAGGCTCCTCCCCCAACCTGCCTCTGGTCTCCTCCCTGCCTATATAGAGGCGAGGTGTTGAGCTGGCACCAGAACACAGAAGCCAAAGGATGACACAGTTGTGCAGCATGGAAAGCAAAGGGCTGGTGGCTGAGCTGCAGAGAGCGGCTATCTGCCCAGCCTGCAGGGGTCACTTTAAGGACCCAGTGATCCTCGACTGTGACCACAGCTATTGCCGAGCTTGTATCACTCGCTACTGGGATGAGGAGTCCATGAAGGGAAATGGCCCTCGGGTGATATCTTGCCCCCAGTGCAAGAAAGTCTTCGAGAGGAGGAACCTCCGCACCAATGTCAAGCTGGCAGTAGAAGTCAAGATCACCCAACACCTCAATGCCAAGACAGCCCAGGTACCCCTTGCCCCAAAGTCCAAGCGCCGCCGTGGAGGGTGGAGGCCCACAACCAGCATCCAGAAAGAAAAGGTAGGTCATGGATGAAGGGCTCAGTTGCCTTGTCAGCAAGAGGGTCTCTGATCTTACACAGTGCATTCTCCATATGCATTCCTCCCCATTAGATTTGGGTTTGGTGGTGTTTGGAAGTTGAAAATACAGTGTGTGGTATTGAGGTAAGTGTATACACCAGAATAGTTTTATCTGAAAATGATACTGAGAAATAGACTTTTCAGAGATGTGTGTTAGAATTTGCTTTCTTTCTCATCATTTTGCTACAGTGGCCTATTGTTATAGTCATACGCGATTTCTACTTCAAGCCTTCTCCCTCATGTGGTATGACGCCAGCCAGAGAAATTTAGAGGTTTATATCCTTTTAAACAATGGGAAATTAGACAGTAATTTAGTTTATGAAGCTTTTTCTCAGCACCAAGACTCAATGTAGCAAGGAAAACAGGGACAAAAAGGAAAAACAAAATATATCTCTGCCTGTTGTCCCAATACTTGGAGAAATCTTCCCAGCCAGGGGTTCTCCAGGTATATGTGCTTTCATATGCTTGGAAATGATGGAAACTGCAAATCCTATGAAGGCTAGAGATGACCAGAATTGTATTGATCACATCTGAAAATACCATATTGATAAAAAAACTGTTGAAATACAGGGGGTGTGGGGGAAGGAAAGCTTCCAGAAGAAAAGATATGGGTATGTTCTGCCTGTTGGATTACGTATGAATGAGAGAATAAAATTAGATTCTTGCTAGTATCATGAAGATGTCTATTATTTCCTCTCATGGATGGTGATGCAAAAACTGAATTTGTTCTTATGGATATACTATTGAAAACATACATCAAGACAATTATGCATCACCTGATGCTCTCCAGATGTGTTGGACCACCATCCCATCATCTACTAGTCAATGTTGCCCTTTATAATCCAGACATCTGGAAGGCATTAAGGGAAAGCTGAGGTGGTATCATGATGATGATGACTTGCTTGAGTATAACAAGGTAAAAGATTAGTGGATTTAATCAATCAATCAATCAATCAATCAATCAATCAATCAGAATAGAGGTGGAAGGGACTTTGGAGGTCTTCTAATCCAACCCCCTGCTCAAGCAGGAGACCCTATACCATTTCAGACAAATGGCTGGCCAGTCTTTTCTTAAAAATCTCAAGTGATGGAGCACTCATGATTTCTGAAGGCTAGCTGTTCCATTTGATCTATTTTATTATCATTTTTTAATTGGTTTCATTTGAAATTGTACTCATTTGATTGATCTTATTTTTCCACCAAATTTCATGGTGGTGCTTTATCAACCCATTTACCACATAAAAAGTTGGGGGGGGGGAAACTTTTTTCAAAGAGAAAAAAAAATCCAAGAAGTAGTTGACTATTTGTGGGGCTCACTTGAAGCTGGATTTGATGGCACGGGGAAAGGCATGCTGTTAGGATCAGGAGTTGACCTTTCTCTTCTACATTGCATTTTTGCTCTTCAAGCTGCCCACGAGACTACACAGACCAGATGAAGTTTTCTTTCTCCAAAGATTGGGAGAAACTGTAGCTTAATGTTGGTGCTCCTGCTTTACATGCAGAAGATGTCAGGATCGTTCCATAGGACTGGTCCTTTAAATGCAGAAGATTCAAGGATGACTAAAACTATGGAAAGCAAAGCCAGATTTGGTAGGAATGGAGGAAAATTATTTGGTTTCTTGGGGTTAGGATGAACTAATGGCAAAGACTATAGATGCCAGCCTGGGCTCCTTGGAAGAAAAGTAGAATAAAAATGAACTAAGCAAATCTCTTTTTTTAAAAAAATACAATCTTTTAGTGGAGGGATAGGGAACCCAATGTCCTCCAGAAATAATCAACTCCTTCAGAGTAGCTCAAGATTCCTGTCCTTGTTTAAGGAAGCGTGTTTCTCTGTCCACATTGAGCCCCCTGCATGTTCCATTCTTAACATGGTTCACTTTGATTCTTCGGTAAAGTCATGTTACAGTCATGTGACAATCATAATATGATGTGAGATTGTGATCTGGCCAGTAATTATTCTACCAATGCTGCAACATTTTTTCACAAATCAACGTTACCCTGCTGGTATTGAAGGCACAAGGAACAAGATCAAAGCAAGAGGTTAGCAATGCTATGCTAGGACTATCTTTGATAGATCACCTGGAAAGAAAATACTCCAACAAGTTGCAAAAGAAATGAGTAGAATAGGCATTTATGGAGCAGTAGTACTAAATATTTTTCAAGACAGATCTTGAACTAGATCTGAGGCAGGTGTCTCAGAAATGAGGCATGACTTATATTTATTCATACGATTCCAATCTGAGAGGCATGCCTCAATGGAAAACACTTTTACAATTGTGAAAATAAGAACGAACAGAGATCAACAAGAATCATTGTGGTTAGTGAAGATGGAAGAAACAGATTAATAGACAAAAGAAGGTAAACAGAAGAGGAATGATTGCCAGAATAAAACAGAGAAAATATATTTAAACAAGGCAAAATAGACATCTATGTATAAATCCTTCCAGAGTCATGTTTAAGTGTTCTTTCTTCTGTTGATAATATAATATATTATATACATAACATAATGTATGAAGTCAAGGCTGCAACCACGCAGAATTAAAAGAATGATTTGCTTTCTTGCACAAGGATATGCATGTGCCCTAGCAAGGATTTATGGATGTGCAAAGTCTGCTATTAATTCATGTTCTCTGATGTAACCAGTCCATTTGCATTGGAGATGAGCTTAGTTTGCTTGCCAACTCAGGTTTCATTTACAACATCCTTTCATCTTGATTTCTTCTTTGGATTTACTTTTTCCTGAAAGGGAAGGCCTAGGAACCTTCGACTTGCATCGACTGGTTAAAAAAAGAAGAGGCAACCTGACAAGATAATGACATTCTTGATCACAAGCTTTAATAAAATCAGAACAATGCAAAGAAGACCATTGGAAAGAGAAAGGCTGCTGGTCATCACCTTGAATTATAAGGAAAGAACCTTGTGCTGTGAGTTGCTTCATCGGATTCATCTTCTCCTGGTTAAACCAGCTATATCTTATCTGCTCTATCCACACATCCTTCTTCCCCTCTTGCTTCACCTTCTCCTACATGGCCAAGGTGGAGCCTGGAGAAAAAGCTACCTTGCAGTTCTAGGAAGACTAAGTATCAGGGAAACCCGAAGAGGCAAGTGAGGGTAGGAGTGGCAAGCTAGGGATGGTGACCCAGCTGAAACTGAACTGTTTTCCAAGGAGAGCAACCGGATGTTGTCATTGTCTTCTCACTCCTTAGCCATCCTGGCTCTAGGATTGCCTTTCTGAAGGACTTCCATGGACATAAGTCAAGCCACCTGCCTGGCCCCCGTTTAGCCTGTATTTTGGCCATTATTTTGTTGATGTATGTAATGATTATTTATTGGTATTTTGTATTCTTGTCATCTGCTTTGTAAGGAGTTTCAATGCTGTGGGACAAGCAGCCGCAAAAGCCAGTCTGTTTATTGAACCTTTGGAGTCAGTTGTCCTAAGTGCCAGTAAGAGCTTGCGTTTTCTAGAGGAATAATATCACCCATTGTTCTTTTGCTGAGAACAAAGTATTAAATTGGCCTTGCTTTTGAATATTCATCTTTAAAACTTGAGAACGCAATACCTTCACATTATTAACAGCTGTAACATGTTTCAGGGTGCCATAAAAAATCCTTTTTTATTCTAGGTTGCTTAGCTAGCTATTTTATTGGATAAAAGGATTGCCTCATGCCTGGAAGGAGATTTGAAACCTAGCCTTCAAGTGCTATCCTCTACATTACACTTAATTCGCCGTTTCTTCATTAAATTCTTTGATCTTTTAATCCCCAAATGGGAATAATGAACAGGTTAATTGAGGCATATAATTTGGAGATATTTAGGGGCAAGGAGTCTTTCCAAAGTTATAGAGAATAAATACTGTGAATCTAGATTTCTGTTGGATTCTGCTTTAAGAAAGTGTGAAACTGACAACAGTGCTGTTTTTTTTTAATCTTGGAATTGGCAGCCATAAACTATATGCATCTCTTGCGGTCTTTTGTGTAGCTTTTGGGTCTACCTCCATGATATCTTTGCTAATGTTTTCATTTTGTCTGTTTTAAGATAGTAAAACAGGTATAATAGGTAGTAAAATAAATGAAAACTCCAAAAAGTATGACACACCAGTGTAATTTTTTTTTTCCAAAAAAGAATAACCTTATTTAAAATAATATTCTCAAATGACAAATTATCTTCCTGTATGGCTTCCATCTTGATATAGTTTAAGAAGTCCTTGAAAATCTGGCTGTTTCCCAGGCCTTGGGTTGGAATGGGTGTTGAGCCTCTTATAGGATTTTATCTGTCAGTAGGATTGTGTGTCTGGTTATACATTGGGGTTTTTTCCTCCTTCTTTTTCTTGGTTTTTTCCCTATTTTTAATGCTATACACCAAGTGTTTTGGAGTTGTGTGGCCTTGTAAATTGCTTCCTTAATTAATTCATGATAAGGGTCTAATGTCATCAGCAAATTTGATGAGTTCCCCTTCTATTCCCTCATTTGAACACCACACTATAATAAAAGATGTCAAAACTCTAGAAAGAGTGCAGAGAAGAGCAACCAAGACGATTAGGGGACTGGAGGCTAAAACATAGGATGAACGAATATTGCAGGAACTGGGCATGGCTAGTCTAGTGAAGAGAAGGACCAGGGGAGACATGATAGCAGTGTTCCCATATTTGAGGGGCTGCCACGGAGAGGAGGGGGTCAAGCTATTTTCCAAAGCACTTGAAGGCCAGACAGGGAATAATGGATGGAAACTGAACAAGGAGAAATTCAACCTAGAAATAAGGAGAAATTTTCTGACAGTGAGAACAATCAACCAATGGAAGAGCTTTCCCTTCGGAAGTTGTGGGAGCTTCGTCACTGGAAGATTTCAAGAAAAGACTTGACTGCCTTCTGTCAGAAATGAGGTAGGGTCTCCTGCTTGGGCAGGGGGTTGGACTAGATGACCTACAAGGTCCATTCCAACTC